GGGCAGGACAACAAGCAGTAAGCTCATTCACCAAACCACTGCTTGCAGATGATATATCCGAGCAGCTTCTATTATCTATTACCACTATTTAATGGCACATCTGCTTCAATACCCATGAACGACCGATGCTGTGTCCAGCTTATTGAAAATGTTTTGACTACTCAATCATTATTTCTGATATTAATCTTGTGCTCAGAAATTGTAACTGTAAATTTGCTCTTCGTCTTCCCCACATAACAAAATCCATACTTTTACTACAGGTTTGGTCCTACAAGCGATTCTACCACTCACTTGAATTTTTTTTTTTACCTATATGTCAGTGTGATAAATCATCTCCTTCAATAATGGCATTACAGTTCAACAAGGAAAATTTCCAGAGGGAAGAGAATTTAAAAAAAAAAAAAGTGTGTAGGTTCAACAGATAAGTCTGTCGTTACAAGATTATCTCTCAATTTAGTAGAACACTTTGTGGGTAGATGATTAACACTTTCCAACCAGCAGGGTGATCATACAAAATATGCCAATATTTTCTCCCCACATTTATAAGAGTGAAAAAGTTAAAGTTAAAAGTTATCTATTTTTCTAACCCTAGAGAGAGAAACAATTAAAAAAATTTTGAAGAGGTTTTTTTTTTTCTTTCTCAGAAACAAGAATACAAAGCATTAGCTTGTTTCTCAAACTCCTCCTCAAAACTGCACATCCTTTCTGTCCACAACAGCTGACTATACGGTAATCTCTTCTTCAAAGAGAATGGATGATATCTTGAATAATGAAAAAAAAAAAATCCTATCAGCCCACTTTTAATAAATAATAGTTTGTATTATTTCTGATTTATTCATTCTCACATTTAAAATGAAACCTCACAATTGGCGCCTGTAATAAATGTAAAACTAGGTAACCTTGAGTTAAATCTATTTAGATCCTCAACAGTGCCAATAAATATAAATATAAGTCATAAATATATCTGAACCAAAAGTTAATAAAGGAGAGGTATGATCATGATCAACATGACTAAGTTCAAGTTTCCCCATAAATAAATTCACATAACTAGGATTGACAGGGCTACCCACTGAGACCCTTTGCTTCTATAGGGGGGAAAAAACAAAAACTCAAATCTGAAAAGATTCTTAGTGAGAACTATTTCTACTAACTTTATCAGCAATGCTGTTGCTAAAGTTCCCTCTTCCCTTGCATTCAAATTATAATGTAGGGCCTTCCAATTCCTGTTTATGGGGAACATTCGCATATAAACTCATGACTTCCATTGGACATAAGATTAGTATCTTTGATCTCTCACAGATATTAATTTACACAAAAAAGGAGAGCCTACTGACAACAGGAGATCATGGAACAGGCCCCCACACAACTTATATAAATCTTGGGCAATGTATAAGAGAATGGGAAAACTAGGATGTTCTTCTAACAAATATCCAAATTGACCTTTTGATATTAAAGTGCCATTTACAGCTAGAGTGTTCTTTATTTACTTCTAAACTTTCAATGTAAGATCATAACTTTAAGAACTGTAGAAGTCTGTATTACGCAACTGACTCATTACTTGAACTGCAGTATGATTCTTTGTTCTGCCTACCGCACCACCTTCACTAGCATACTGGATAACTACTGTTTCATCATTTGCAAGATTTTTTAAGAGCCTGTGGAATAAATTAGGATAGCACTTGCACCTCCTCTTTAACTAAATGACGGAAAGTTTGCAGAGAAGCATTAATATCTTGGGGAAGAAATATGTTTTTAGATTTTAACTTCTTACTCCTCTGCAGCTCGTTAATTTTATCTTCATCACTTGAGTAAACAGATTTTGAAGAGGGAGAGAATCTTTACATGAAAAGAAAGCTTTGAGTCTTAGTGCATGA